TGGCAAAATAAAAAACAAAGAACACACTTGCGCAAAATTAAAAATATAAAATGGCAAAAATTTACCCATCGCACCCTGTGTGTGTGTATATATATATATATATATATATATATATATATATATATGTATATATTAGAAAAGAGAAAGAGAGAGAGAGATGTGGCAAATTTTAAACCAAAGTTGAGGGCTTCCTGTTGGGTATTAGATAGCTTTACATCCAGTAGATTTTCTATTAGATCTGACCTTTCAACTTATTTCCACATTGGGTATTGAGTTTTTATCTTAGTATGTTTTAGTTATTGCTTATTTGTTTTATCGTTGGTTGTAGTAAAGTCATTCAACAATCGCAACAACAAACGAGACAAAAACTCAACACTATGCCAGTGGTTCCCAAACATTTTTCTCTGGGTTGCATTTTTGGAATTATAATTTGCTTGCGCCTCACCAAATTTTATGTGAAAAAAAAGTACATTTAAAAATAAAAATAAAAACAAAAAACAGAAAGGGTTAAAGGGAGATGAGTGCAGATTTGAAGTTGGAATATTATCAATGATAACTCTCTCCTCCAATTTGCAAACCCTAGTTATTTGCCCAATAATTATTTATAACTATTTATAATGGGACTCATGCATTCAATTACAAGTAATCCATCAAATATTTTAAATTTTGAAATCATAATTATTTTTGGCATGCGAATTTTTTGAAACTGTTTCTAAATTTTTGATTGTCGTATTGTCTTTCAATTATTCTGCTTCAACTACTATTTTCTTCATCTGCACCTATGAGGTACCCTGCACCATTTGGGAACCAATGCCCTATGCAGTAACAGCACATTGGAAGTCCTGATCTAATAAGAAATCTATCAGATATAAAGCTATACAATACTGAATGGGAAACTCACAGGTTCAGTTTAAAATTTGCCACTGGAATTCATAAAGGAGATCTATCATTTTAAACATTATTTTCAGTGAGTATTTATATTTGAGTAGATAGTCCCTTTATTAAAAACTGTTGGATTATTAAATAAAAAATCAATTGCTTTAGAAAATTAATTTGGATCTAAAACTGAACAGATATAATTTAGAGGAATTTATGATAAGAAGAATTTCACTTAAAAGCACTGTTCAGACCCTGCTTGATCGGCAAAGCTTTGAAACCAAGTCAGTTAAGACATGCTGGATCTAATAACAGTTTTACTCTGCTCAAGGGGACGCATATTCGAATCGTACTAGAGAGCACATATATTTCTTTAATATTCAGGCTGGTAGAGGAAAATAAGTTAATATACTGTTTAATAAAGAGAGTGTTGACTCAAATATGAACATCCATTAAAAATAACATTTAAAGTGATAAAAATGTGTCAGATTAATAAAAAAACAAAACATTACTACTTTAGAAAATTATCATATATTTTCAGATGTTATTCTAGTGGATACTTTGTATTTGAAATAGACACTATTTTTATTTATCAAAGTATTCTGTCTGTTGGCCTGCTGCACATTTGAGAAATCTTAGTAAAGAAAAGAATGAAGATTATATACAGGGTTTAAAAATAAAAATGACATCTATTTCAAGCAGGAAATGCCCCTATAATAACATTTGAAGTAGTAAAAATGTTAAATTAAAAAATAAATCCATATATATATATATATATATATATATATATATATATATATATATATATAATGGATAATATGAGTCTCAAAGGTGCAATGGACTTGAGTGCTTAATGCCATTAACATTGGGAATCGCCTAATTGGTATTTTAATGGATAATTGTCAGTCTGGCACGTGCTTACTGTCAAGTTGGATGTATCATCGAAAGCTTATGTAGCATATCTTACGTCTAGTGAGCAAAATAGTTTGTTTCTTCATTTTTCATTCTATTTCTTCAGCCCTTATGATGGCAGAAGAAAAGAGACTGTCATGCACAGGTAAAAAACAATCAAGCTAAATGTGATTGATTATAGAAAAGCAAATGGAAATCAAACTGCCAAAAGACATTTTGGTTCTCTACCAACAGAAAAAAAAAAAATATTCATTCACTGTTTCAAGCTTTACTGGATTAAGATACTAAATTTTTTTTTTTTTTTAAGTATCAGATTGAATTTTTCTTCAATGAAAATCTTTCAAACTGTAGTTTTTTCAGAACAAAGGTACATTTTACATTCTGAAAAATATATAATAAAATGCTATAATAAAGAATATAGAATGAACTATAGATTATTGTCAACGTTATTAATAATAATATTGACTCCAATCTATGGTTCCATCCTGAACAATTAAGAACGTATTTCTTCTCATCAAAATCGAAGACAGAAAAAGAAACTTTTATAAATCTCCTTTATTCATCATTCAGCCAAAGTTTAAAAAAAAAAAAAAAAAAAAAAAAAAAAAAAAAAAGTTGAATATTTCTTTAAATTCCTTTCCTATTTACCATGTTAACAGGAATGAGGCTTTGACGGTAGTTTTGTTTTTATGGTCAGATTCTTATCAGTATGATAGTTAAAAGAAAGATTTTTAAGCCAAGGAATAAATTTGAAATTCTTAGGCTGAGAAAATTACTTTGGATTGGTGATTCTAATTTGGATAGCATTTCCTATTTTCACCAACCCTTGCTGTCAGTTTAAAATGACGTCTTCTGTATAATAAATGCAAATGTTACTGTGTCACACTTTTCAACTTTACTCCTAGAGGATATCATACCATTTTGGAATCAGGTCGACTGAGTAAATTGAAAATATTCTGGGCCGGATCTGGACTCACAATCCTGAAATTTTGGATCCCCAAGTTTTCATTACTGCAATTGTTTTCGGCAATTTTTTTAATGCAAGATTTTGCATCAAATTTTTTGTACCATAACAATTTTTATGACTAGAAAATAAGATTGGGAATAATCAAAAGTAATTGCAAAATCCTGCAAAAGCCACACAGGAAATAAAAGTAGTTGTTTGTATGGAAAGTAAGGACCTACGTACATCAAATTGTCTTTAAATTAAGTGGTGGCAGAAGAATTATTGTTGAACTTTCAAAAGCTAAGCTAAAATATTAATGCAATATTTAAATGCAGCAATCAATTTTGAGTTCTTCTGTTGTTTATTGTTACCCATCAGGATGAAAGCCCAATCAAGAGTCTTCTGCAGGAGCTTACTTAAATGCCAGCCGATAGTTTTTCTAGCTATCTAAACTGGAGTGTGTGTGTGTGTGTTGGGGGGACTCTTATCACCCTTTTTCTTGTATTTACAGAATTTTGTTATTTGAATTACAATACCTTGGCATTTTATTGAATTTTTGATTACTGAAATATGCTTCAGTTTATTTAATAATTATGAATTAAAACAAATTACTCGAGCAATATTCAAGTTGAAAAGTCCAACATTTTCTATTGTTATTAAATTTGAAAAAAACTCTTCTATAAAAATAATTTGTGCAAATGGATATGGAAAAGAATGAATTTTGCAAAGTGAAAATTTCACTGAAAGATATTGAAAAACATCTAAGTTTTCATCTGATATCAAGAAAATATAAACTTTAAGCAAAATGGTTACAAGAAAAAAAATAAAATGACTTATGCTCATAACTTATCCCTGAATTTCTGATGCATTTAGGAAACACATTCAATCAACAGCCATATCTATATAGAATTATTGGATGCTAAATAAATGCATTTTATTTCTCAAAAATTAATTTTGAAATTCCTAATGTATAAAGTAATAACAATATTTGATTAAAGTCAATCAGCATCTCAACACTATTTTTTTCACATCTGTATTACCACCAATATGAACTTGATAATAATGTACTTGATAAAAAAAAAAAAAAAAAAGAAGCCATTTCTAAAAAATTTCCCCATGTTTCTATGATTCTATAAAAAACAAAAGAAAATAGAAGCAATATGGCTTTGAATAAATATCTTGTTTCTGTATGGATTTCTGGGATGAAGAGTTGTTATTTACACTATGTATATCTGAGCTATTGTCCTCATCTTTGTTGTTTCAGTCATTATGCCCTCAAGCCTTCCTCAGGTGTTTACTGATCTGGGTAACTCCAGGGAATTTTGAATTGAACTCTTTATTTAATCGCCAGTAGTAGACATGGGCAGTAGCGTAGATTAAATAAAGGGTTCAGTTCAGAATTCCCTGTAGGTTACCTAGATTGATATACGCCTGAGGAAAGCTGAAGGGCACAATGGCTGAAACGTTGTGATAAGAACAAAGATGAGAACAATAGACCAAATATATGTTGTTTTTACCAAGCACGTTTCTTGATTTCTTCCTAAGGGGCCAAGAGGGATTAAGTTGTCTTACCTGATAGATTTCAGTGATCTGCTCAGCCGCCCACAGGGCATATTTTGTGTTAGCTTGCCGTTCCCGTGCATTCTTGGCCTGATAAACAGCTAAACCACTTGCAGTCTAGAAAGAAAAAGTAAGAGATTTTGTTGGCAAATTAAGGACTATGTGGGTCGTATACTGCTATGTGCTATGCATTAGTTCCTTTTAGAATGTGTAGGGTGGTGTTATTCTAAGTTAATTGACTACACGGAATTTATAAGTCTTTCCTGTACATGGGATAAGATCAATAAGACCACAGCTTGACATGTAATTGGAAGCTGAATTCCGATCAAAATTTTCGCTATATAATGTTCAATTTATATGATTAATATTCAGTGCTGAATTAAGTGCATTGACAAGGAGATTCATATTGAAAAATAATTGATGTGCAAAATACTTTTCTTCATCATGAGGGGGTAGGTTAATAAATGTACCTATATACATAGGTCATGTCACAAGCCCCGTAAACCCATTAGGGTCATCACACACACAGTAGTGATGTATCTAGGGCTATCTTATCTGACGGAGCCCATCCTACTTCAAGCTGTTTTGAATTCAGTGTTTTACTTCTAGAATGATCAAATCACATGCAAAACACTGGTTCTCATTCAATCACCATGGTTAAGCAGTGTCAAGGCCAGTCAGTACTTAGATGGGGATCACTTAGGAACAGTAGGTACTGCAAGCAATCTTCAACAATCTGAAATATTTTTTGACTTTAAATAACCCACAAAGGGTTGACAAGTTGAAAACCAAAATCGATCAATTTCCTAGACTAACTTCCAATTCAGCTATTTAACATATGGTTGGAGGGAGAAGGCATGGATTCATTCCTTTTCCATGAGTATAACAAAAATCGACTGGCTTTCCTAGTTTAAATGGTTTATTGCAAAAAATTGTGTCATTTTTTAAATGCTGATTTATAAAAATATAAAGTATTAAATATATTAAGTATTATTTATAATGTATTAAAAATTTATCTGTTTAATAAATTTTTATTCAAACTCAGCTATGAAATTTTAATAAAAGGAATCACCTAGAACATTTTTTTATTTTAACTTTTGCTATCAGTGCTTATCTCCCTTGAATCGAGACGTGAACCTGGAAACAATAGTGCAGTTTAAGGTCATAAATTTGATAACACTTCACAAAATAAACTTACCATTAATAAACCAAATAAACTGCGAAGATTGCGCGGGTTCAGTTTAGCAGCTTCACTGAAATAAGCTCTAGCAATTTCTAAATTCTCCGATCCACCTTGGGTGTATTTAATCTGAAAAAAAAAAAAAAAAAAAAAAAAAAAAAAGGCAACATGAGACAACATTAAATTTGATGTTTGTTTTCTTTGTTTAACGGCATAACTGCTTCATGGATCATTTAATGCTGAAATTTTATTTCCTTGGAAGTAATAAAAATATGATATATGTTATTCTGCTTTCACAACTGAATACATGGTACATGATACTCAGCTTTTATGCACATACATGTTTATAGGGACATTATTACTAGAGGCGGTGATATGCATGTTTAATGTTGTAGTTTTGTTGAAGTTATATTTTGGTATGCAGTTTGATTTAAAAAATTGTCAGATATTATAATAGATTAATGTCATGAAAGAGTTCTTTCATCTTGTTTGTTTGATTTTGTTTGGTGGCATATCAACCTCCATGGGTTATTTAATGCCAAAATTTAAACATTTTGAAGACAATTTTATTGCTTCAACTACACATAATATGTATTATTGGTAATTTTACTATAAAAATGTACTGCTTGTATTTTTATACATTGATAATGTTTTATTTTTATTTGGAGGTTCACTATTTGCCTATAGCAGGGACCCTAACAGGTGCTACAACCCAACAGCAATTAAGAGATGGTTCCATGCTCCTCAAAATGCCCAATCTTGCAATCAGAGGCCTTAATGCCAGATAGGTATTTGTTATATAGGAAGAAAATGAGTAACTATCAACACCGAGGTTCAAGCATGACACTTTGGACTTATGAATATATGTTTTCTACCAGGTGGTATAAATAATGGTGTCAGGCTACTAACTGGAGTGATTAGTGAATGAATATTGAGTGGAACTATCAGGTCGAATTAGTGTGAATCACAATGATTTGGGTTTTGATTTAGGATTTACTGGATGTTAGCTCTACTAAGACGGTATTCACTGAAATGGTTAATTATCTTTGATTGATTTTTATTTTTTTGTTCTTGTTAAGCATTTATTTGAAGCTGTATTAAATAGTTTTATTTTAACATTCAAGACTTTTGAGTTATACTTAATTATTAATTCCCACCGTATGTCACAAAATTAGTTTATTGTCAGAACCAGGACTATAAATATGAAGTAGAATGATAAGCAGTTTATTTATATATATATATATATATATATTTATACACGTTTCATTAAATAATATAGACAAGTGTTGTCTATTTTATGTAAAATTTTTTCGTATCTTCTGATAAGTTTGGTAACATTATCATTAACCGAAAAAAGAAATTCACAATATTTATCCATTATTTTTTAATAAAATCTAAGCTTTCGGCTTACTCAAGCCATTATCAAAAATGTAATTACAAACATATCAAACAATATACGGACACGACAGCGATGATAGTCTGTCATTGTTTTGTTTACATAGTGGATCACTAAGCAACGATGAACACGCGCATATATAAGGCGCTAGAAGCGAAAATCGCACCGCATCTCATGGCGTCACACATGACTACGAGAGTGAATTGTAGAATGAAATAAGGAAAGCCGTTGGTATAAACCAATGGCTTCTGTTACCAATTATAGAAATTATAGACATTTAAGAATATTTGTAGAGATTCCATAGTTGATTTTGTTTAGGTTGGGTTTTAACTGTTTGATGTATAATGCTTCAAGTATTTTTAGTTTTTGTCTATTGTTTTCATGTCGAGGAAGTATAGTTGTGTTTTTCGACAAGTATTTTCTGGAATTGTGTGTGTGCGGGCAGGCATGTTGTTTTAAATGCCTAAAAATGCCCGCACACAACTACACTTCCCTTACACAAGGAAGTAATGTGGATTTCCTTATTTTTTGTTCGATTCCTTAGTGCATTTCAATGTCTCTGTGGTGAAGTTCTTTCATTGTTGGTTTCTACAGTGGCAGTGATCATTCCTTGAATGAAGACATTGGTGAATTCGGTGTTGTTTTGTTTATGAGTTTTTTTTTATATTATATTAACTAGGTCTCCAAATTTTAAACCTATGTTGAGGGCTTCCAGCTTTATGTCTGATATATTCTATATTAGATCTCGTCTTCCAAGTTGAAATATATTGGAAGTCCAGATCTAATAGAGATGTAACTATATATGTGCATGAAGGGGAGTGGACATTGAAATTTTAAACTTTTAAATTAAATTTTTTTTATTCCTTGTAGCAATACTTAGGAGAAAACTTGAGGAATTTAAATAAAAGAATATATGAACACAAAACAACACACTCAATGAATTAATTGCTTACCGTAAGGAGTGACCATAATTTTGATTTAAAAAGTGCTACTTTAATGAAGAGAGAAAGCAATTTACTATGATGAAAGTACATTGAAAATCCTTTAATCATATCATCCATAATAAATTTGTGCCCAACTTCATACATTTTGCCTTTCTTGGTAGATTTTCTATTATCACAATGTAAGATATTTAATAATAAAATCAAACAAAAAGTAAAAGAAACAAAAAGGAAATTGGCTAGACTATATGCCTAAATGCAAAATATTTTAAATATTTAAGTTTAAAATTTCAGCAAGCCTTCCACTTAGTATTTATGTGTAGTTATGTACATTAAGGCAAACATCACTTTGCTCCTATGAGGTATGCTACATGAAAATTTATTATATATATATATATATATATATATATATTACACACACACACTTCAATAAAAATGGCTAATAAGATACTGCAGTTATTTTGGGTTTAGCAACTTTTTTTTCTTTTCTTTAATACCTTGTTTTCTACGTAGGAGATAAAATACAGAAGCAGAGACCGAGTAGAATATGTTGTAAAACATTTATTTCTATAAGAGGGATTGCAGCCCAAATGCACAATTATCAAACTACACGACCCAGCAGCCAAAAAGGAAAGTAGCACTACAACATTCAGAAAAAAATAAAATAAAAAATAAAAAAATTGTTTTACGACAAATAAAATGAAATCCAACGTTTACACTCAAAATAATGGAATAAGTATAGGAAATCCACTTGGTCCATGCCTCTCTTGCCAGTCGTTTTTTTAATGAAACAACAATAAAAGATTTCTGCCCAAATACACTATATATCTCAGAACTCTCCCATTGATTTCAACATATAAGGGTCAAGCAACTCACTTCCTAGAAACCAACAGTCAGAGTACCCGCATAAGTCATTTGTTTATAGTGGTGAAGGCTTGTGCAGAACCAACCACGTTTTTTGGAAGAGCCAAATACAGAGAACTGGTGCACAATGTGCCACAAGGTCCCCTAACAACCCTCCGCAGGTTTTGAATTCTGAGTTGTCCTTCTACAAGACTGGTTGCCACCCAAGTTTATAGAACCCAGTCTGTACTGCTATTTACCCAGAGGATTCATACCTTTCACAAGGCTATTAACACATAAATGAACGCAAAGTATTTGACTGGAATTTGAACTCTGCTGTCTGATTTCTAAATCCGAGCCACTATCCCTCAAGCCATTATGCCCCCTCATTTCATATATATATATATATATATATATATATATATATATAGAGAGAGAGAGAGAGAGAGAGATTTTGAGGTGTGATGTTGTGAAGTGATTCTGTCCTAAAAACCTAGGCGTTAAGCACTGTTGATTACTGTTTAGGTAGGTGTCCGCCCTTTGGTCATTTTTCATTAAGAACAAATAGGAAATTTTTATAAATCTAATGTTTCACTAGCTTCACTAGAAATTTGAGAGTGGAAGAATTCTGTTATATTTCAGTTCTCTGTTCTATTTGTTTTTATTGCTCGTGTATTAGTGTTAATAGTATGTATATTGGTGTTAATGTTAGGTCTTTCAATTTTAAAAGTCTGTTTTCTTTCACAGAATTTATTTTTAAAAAAATAAATAAATAAATATCACTGTTGTCTTTCAGGATGGTGGCATAATGGATATAGAAGTTGGTTAAACATGTGCTGCTGTCATCTAGTGTTCAAGAGTTCAATCCCTGGATCAGGTAGGGAAACAATACACGTGGTTCAACAAAGGGAATGAACAAGATCTAACATCAGTGATAAAATAACACAATAACAGATATATTAAAGATAAGAACAATAGTCCTAATAAAATACGATGTCTGATCAAAAAGTATAAAAAGAAAACTACAACACATATCAATTCAGCATTTAATCTCCTTCAAAGTAATCCCCTTTATCCAGCATTGTTTCCATTGATGAAAGCATTCTTGTGAACTTCTTTTTAGGGATAGCATGCAGCTGTCATGCCACATTCTTGGATTTTCTTAATGTCCTAAAAACTTGTTTCTTTCAACTGGGAATTGAATTTTGAAGAGGAAAAAGTTGCAATGATCAAGAACATGGTAGTTGTCAAATCAGAGTAATGTGCCTGGCCCCAAATTGCTGCATAATCCATGGTCACGGATGGAACCCCTATGGTGTAGTGTGACAACTACATTCTACATACTTTTCTTCCAAGCACATAACTTAGCATGTATGCCAACAGAGTCCAAAGTCAATCTTTCAAAATCAGCTTCACTTTGCATACTTTAACTGTTACCCAACATATTTTGACCTGATCTCATACTTTTATTTTGTTAAATGACTACAACTCTAATGAGATTTTTAAAATAAATCTACATCTTCAAATGTAAATTTATATTCAAACCAAAGTTTTCGACAGCTTTTGTCCACCTATGGCTGGAAGCTAATAATAAATCCTGATATCTTGCAAGCAGCATCTTCCCATTATATTTGAACACACCCTGATTGCTTGCAGCACTCACCAAGGGAACCAGATGATTTCTAGACAAGATTTTAGTTGTGCCCCACTTTAAAAAGACCTTGTGTTACATACATGACAGATAAATCTCAACTTACTTCTGCATACTTAAGATGATAAAGATGGTTGTGTGGATTAGACAGGATTAACTCTTCCATGCAGAAAGAAGCTTTTGCATAATCCATTTCAGCTATATACAAATCACACTGTTCCATCCATGCTTCAAAATCAGTCATAAATCTGAAAAAGGAAAAAAAGATATCAGCTAGTTATATATTATAAATAGTTTAAATAATATGGGCAAGTTCTATCATTTTTTTTTTCTTATTTAATTTTTTAAATTTCCAAATTAGATATTTTGTGTTATTAGCAAATATGCCAAAGTTCATATTTGTTTTATATTAATTTCTTCCTGAGTACTTTTGAATGTTGCTACATTCATTTTTAAGGATTGTTCTGTGCATATTTATGATGGAAAAAAAAAAATATATATATATATATATATATATATATAAGGAAAGTGAACAAGCCAACACTTAGAGGCGACAGACTGTTTCATGCTAGATGCAATCGTGGTCTGACGATTACATCTAGCATGAAAGAAAACCTCTATGTTGATTTCTATGTTCACTTTTATATTTACACATGCTCTATCTCTGATATTGAAAACTTTATCCCATATATATAGCACATCTTAAGACTATATTTGTTATATATATATATATATATATATATATATATATATGATGACAGAGAGATTATCTAGGATGTTTTTCTAAACGATTCCCTCTATTGTTGCATGTAAGAAAGAATCATGATTAGAAATCATTGAAAGTACAAATATCTAAAGCTAACATAAGAAAAAAAAATTCATATTAGCAACCTGATCCCCCAACTTAATAATGATATAGTCCCTTGTTATGACAACACATGGCATATTTTCTCATTAGCATTTGTTTTGAAGATACTGTGAAATGTTGGTTCCTAGGATTTGTGCTATAAACTCTAAACTAGTGCTTAGTGCTATTTCCATACAATATGACCAATCTTGGGATTTACCTTTGTTATTGCATATGGTGGGGTGGGCGACATTTTAGCTTCGTCTGTACTGCAGAGTATCCTAATGTCAGCAGCCATATAAAACAAAAAATCCCCATTGCCTTCAACCATGACCTCCAGACGACTGGATCTCCTACAACTCTTCTGGACGGCCTCCTTTAAGTTGGTAAAAGCTGCCATAATTCTTGCCTTCAGTTCATCTTTGGTGCTACAAGAAGTTTTGTTGGTCTCTTGCTTAACTTCACCCCACACATAATAACCCAGGGGATTAAGCCTAGGGAGTTAGGTAGCCAGATGTAAGGGGGTGATGTGATTGCAGAAATTGTCTAACAGCCATGACTGGGTTCTCCTGCTTGTGTAGCATTGTGCAGAGTCCTGTTGCCAGACATAGGGTCTTCCAGCAGCCACCCTCTTGACCTAGGACAGCACTAAATCCTCAAGGCGCTTTGTGTAATCTTCCATGTTTAGTCCAAGGTATTGTGGGAAGATGAATGAAATCATAACATTGACATCACGAGTGATCACTCCAAACACCTTTGTAATTACCATCAGACCCGTCCAACTCTTTTCGAATCCTCTGCACTGTCCTCAGATTGACACCCAAGCACTCTGAAATGTTTGTATTGGAGCTTCTGGTGCAAATGCCAAGTAGTACAGCATGCCACTTCCAAATTTCTGTCGGAATGAATTGTGTCATGGTGCTCTTTTTTGCACAGATGGTGCCTAACTTACCCTACAATACTGATCAGTTGACAAAATCAAAAACAAACAATGCACAAAAAAAAAAAAAAAAAAAAAAAAAATAATAATAATATTAAAAGTATGTTAGGTTTTATTATAGTTAGTTCACATATTTTTACAATCTTGTAATGATACAATTATTCTTGTAAATAAGTAATCTAATAAATAATTAGTGTTTAATATCTTTGTTGTCAATTCTCAAGAATAAAGAAAAGGTATAAATTCACTTTCATCTGTTTGGGTTTTATTAAAATTCTAATCATCACTCTTTAAAATGAACATTGCCGGGGGTGGAAGGTGCCATAGCAGTGTTAAGAAAATAACTGTTCTTTTCACACACTGTTTTTTTACAGGCATTAAACATTGTCTTCTTTTTTGATGGGATGGGTCAGGTTTGCTTTATTTAAAAAAATTTTAATGATTGAAAAAGCCCAAATCATTCTTACCTTCGACAATAGAGTTAAATGTATGCATCAGAATCCTCAAAAATATGACCAATACAAAGACAAAATTATTTTAATATGGCAGCCATTTTTTAAAAATTTTATTTGACAGGTTGGGTTTCATTGTAATTTTGTTTTTAATGATTCCAAAAGACAAATTTTACTTGCAACAAAAGAGTAAAAAGAAAAACAATAAATAAAAATTCTAGATACCTCATACAGAAAATATATCCAAAGGAATAGCAAAATTAAATGTCGGTCCACTGTCATCTTCTTCCTTTTGGGCACCATCCATCTTCCGTCAGATAAGTGAAAATGCAGCAATTATTAAATTAAAGCAATGACAAAATTTTTTTAAAATTATCCTTTTGATGAACTATGATATTCATGCAATTATACTTTTAAGTTTTTAAATGTTTTCTTAAATATCACATCCTTTTAGGACATAGACAATCATGGCTCTCCAAAGCTTCCTTGCATGAACTACTATGCCTTCTAAGGAAAAATAAGTTGTTTCCTGTTGCCTTTTATATTATTTGTAATTCAGATTTTTCCTTCTAGACTGGTTGCCATCTCAGGCTAGGCAGCCTAATTCATCTTGCTATTTAACCCATAGCTGGGCGTTACCATGATGATAACCATAATGCTACCCACCAACTCTTTTTTTTTTTTAAGCACTGAAGGTTACTTACTCTTTTAAATAATCATTCAGTTTGGCTATAGCTTCTGGAATCTTCCCTTGTGCCTTCAGGATAGCAACTTGTCGTTTGCGGGCAAACTGCAAGCAACAGAAGAGAATCAATGAAAATGTACATCAACTGATACATTGCGTTTCATTAGTTGGGTAAAAGCAAAATGGAGGGGGGGGAATAAAAAAAAAATGCAAGGTTTCTGACACATTTTTTTTTTTATTTATTACTTCAGACATAATTTTTAGTAGCTACTCATATTTGATTAGCAGTTTAATTTTTTATTTTATTTATTTAACCTACTCTCCTGCATATTTTTTAGAAAATTTAGTAAAGATAATGTGTTTTCCAGCAGGATTCTAACATGCATTCACAGGAGAAACCACCATCTGATCCAGCTTGCTTTCTTATGACAAAAAAAAAAAAAAAAAAAAAAATCCACTAAAAATAACATCTAAAGTAATAAAAATGTCGGACTAAAAAATAAAATCCATTAAATCTTTAGAAATGGCACACACACTTATGTTTAATCATTTCTAAGATACAACAGTTCAAATCTTAATCTAACAAATGGGCAATTTTGCTTTTACACGATTTGGACAATTTTGTAGTTACACCCGATCTCAGCATCTGAAGATTGCAAGATTGCATGAACCTCCAAGTCATGCTATTGAGGGTGGATATTATCTAAGGGTTATGACTTTTTGTAAAATAATTTATTTCCTGTATCATAACTTGATGAACTTTTGCTAAAAAATAATGAACAAGGGTTTAATTCAATTTATTTTTAACAAATGTCACCCTCAACACAAAATTTCTAAAACTGTTTATAAATATAACAATACTATGACTTTCTGGAGCTTTCTAGACCTTGTTTTTATTTATTGGTAAGTGCGTATGTTATCCTATAGCCATAAACTGTTAAATGCATTAAAAATACATAAGTACTAAACCAATTACAACATTAGTAAATTAGAAAATAAAGCTTCTGAAATATTTTAATTTTTTACCCTTATTGTGTATATCGTAAAATCAAATTTTCAATTTGGTGGAGAACTAAAACAAATTAATGCCATTTTCATTACTTTTGAACAAAAGTTCATCAATTTATGGCAGAGGAACACTGGATTATAAAAAAAAAGTCATAACCCTAATGTGTGTGTGTGAGTTATTTTGTGCCAGGCATTTACTTTTGTAATAACCAAAGATTTATTCACAAGTTAAATTTACCCAGCAAAATTTTAATTTTTTTCTAAAACTAGACTGGACATTTTTGTACTGTCCATATCAAATGTTGAATACTTAAAAAGGCTAAGAGATAACAAGAGGCTCAACAGTAACCAAAGTCATTCACACCTATTTGTGCTTACCATATTAGTTTCATCTTCAGATAAGATGTGGTCATACAGCTGCTGTGCCTTGTCATATCTTTAAAAGAAAAACAAACATCAGATATGATTGGATATAATATAATCAAATACACAAATTTTGGAAAGAAATTAAATGAGCACATCTATCTGAACAACTCTTATGGATGTTGATTTTGACACCTAACGGAATTGTCAGATGAAACAGCCAGATCCTCCATCTGACAAATTGTCTTAACACCATAGCAAAGAGAAAGCTAACATCAAAGAAAACCACTTTAAATTATAGCTGACAGTAGTAAGAAAGAACATTTTTTTAATTTGACTTTTATTGTAGACATTTTTATTTCAGAAGACAAAATATAAATGAAGCATTTAGTCATTTTTTAAAACTTTCCATATTTAACTTATATATATATTTTTTTTAATGGTGATGGTATCTCTTTATGTTGAGGGCTTTTTTTTTTTCCCCCCCCAACCAAAAATAATTTTACAGTTAAAAATAACAAAAAAAAAAAAAAAAAAAAAAACAATATTATAGAGAATTAATCTTCCATTATGAAAAGGACAGTCTTGATCAATAACAACAGCATTTATAAATCTACAGCTGTTCATTTTACAAGTGTTTCTCAAATACTAAGTAAAATTGGTAAGAAACTGATACAACATACAATTTCCATAGAATCAAGTTAAGCTTCATTTACCCCACTGAAATCCAAGAAAAAAAATATCTTAATGGAAGTTTTTTTTTCAGTCTGATAGCGTGTAACGATAGAGATTAAAATCCAACAAAGACCCATCAGAGAACTCATTTCCAGTTCAGAACAAAATATTCAAAATTATCTCAGAATTAAAGCAAAATAAGTAAAATTGTTTCAAGTCAACTAGAAGCTTTAAAAAGAAATTAAATAAACACATTTGTGCCACTCCTTCAGAAGCTGATCTTATAAGTATACTTAATAAGCAAAGTAGATTTAAACCCAATGTTTTGCACAAACCTCAGCGCTCCCCTTAGGACCATGGCAATGAGAAACCTGGCATCAAAGGAAAATGCTTTAAATGAAAGCTGATAAAAGTAACAACTTTTTACAATGTGACTCTTATTGAACTCTTTTTTGTTATTACTTTCAAATCAGCTCAAACTGCTTTTAAAATGCATCCAATTTTGGGAACTTTAAGCTTACAAGTTGAATTAATACAAAAAGGTATTCTATTCCTTACACACTAATAAATATTTTCTGCTGGTGATGACTTATGAAAGCGTGACATCACACAGGCTCCTGTGGAAGTGAGACATAATAGAGACCATCAAAAAGGGCAAGCATAGATGGGATAGCCATGTCTCTCATCTTAGAGAAAACAGATGGATTATTAGAGCAACAGAGAGGACACCAGGGCAGTGGAATAGAGTGGGGACGAGGGGCAAAGGCAAGATGGTGTGACAATCTGACCAGATGTCTTGACCCTTACATGACCCAGTATGCCCAAAGATAGGAAGTGGTGAATGTCAACCAGCGAGGGGTTCCTCCAAGAGGAGTGAGAAGGCTCTGGGTTTGGATTCTAAAGAAAGGACTATTTTTAATACATTTCTCTTTATTTCAACTGTTTAAAAATCTAAACTGGATAATGCAGAGAAATAAATTTGATACATATTTTTGCCAACCAGCTACAAATATGTGAAAGTTGCAATTCAACAAAGTTTATTTTACAAGCTTAAAAAACATATGCCAAATGCACAAACCTCAGCTGAGGAGAAACTTTGTAACCATCCCACTAAAAGCCAAAAGGTTTTAGTGGGTTTTTAATGTTAAATAGCACTTGGCAAAAAATAACTAAAGAGAAGTCAAACTTGTTTTCTCACCATCTTTTGATTGAACAATTCATTCTTGTCTAAGAAAACAGAAGTTGGGCTACTCACCTGTCTTGTGACTCGTAGAACATTCCTTCTAGGCGCGTAACACGCAGACTCTTTGGAAATTTGGCTTCAAGTTCTTCTATACAAACCTTCAACAAAAATTTAAAATATGAACAGGAATTTGAAAATAAAGTTCATATAGAGAATATGATTTATTCAGTAAATTTTACTAATGTTCTAAAATAACCTTGTCAGATCAAGACTTTCATATAGTAAAATCAGCCATTTCCCTATAAGGAAACATTCAGCATTTATTGACTGAACAGCCAGTATTGCTTTTGGTTGAAATTTATAAAATCTTCCTCTTAAAACAATTTTTGAGGAAAACAGGTTTCTTAAGTCTTAACCTTTATATTTGAAGTGGTGTGGAAAGTCACCATCTTGAATACAGCATTATTTTTTCTTCAAGTTCCATGTGCTATCCATTTTAGTTGGTGCTAGTCCTTTCTGGTTTGTTATTTGGTACAGTTCCTTGTCTATGGATGTCACACATGGTGCCAAACTCATTCAGAAATAGATAAACTTTTAACTGCATATAACTGCTTCTTAAGATCAATAGTGTGACACTGAGCTATCAGGCTGTGGTCAAATCCCAGTTGTGGCGCGAAACTGTGATATTTCTCCTACCAGTGTTTTGGGGTTGACTATTAGTCGCTGCCACCAGCCTGTGTCCCGGTCAATCGGTGGTCATCGCTACCCGGCAGAATCCTTTGGTCAGGGTACCAAGTGGGATGGTTAGTCGATGTTAACAGCTTCACACTTTGCCTCATCTCCATTTATTAATATAAATTCATGTTTGAGTAGACATACTTGCTTTTTTTGTAAACAGTGAAATTAATGCCAACCAGCCTAGACATCAAAAGTCTTACAGAAGAAAATTTGTTCCTTGGCAGGAATTGAACTTGTATTCATTTTTTTAATATAGTTAAAATCAATTTGTTACTTAAATTTGCCTTGTGTATACATTTTAGGCATTTTGAGCATAAAGTTAGCAAGTATAGACTTCAACAGGTCCAAACAAAAGAAGTGTTTTTCTTAAATAAAGTAATTGCACCTTGCTTTGCTCTAATGGTTCTCCATAGCTTAATGGTAAAGCAGGCATGGCTTGAAAGTATTTTCTCAGATTAATAAACGAATACGAGTTCGATTTTTCTTTAGTAAGATCTTTCATCTTTAGGCTGGTAACCATTAATTTCAGAGATAAAAAAAAACAGTGATGTCTACCCAAGCACATGTAACCACTAAATATAACATTTATATTAATAGAAAATAATATGCATGTAAATATTATATTAAATGAAGCAGAATTTAAAAATTTAAGGTGACACTATTTGAGGAAATCCATAAGTAAAGGATTTGTTGAAGATTAACTTACCATTGCTAGATCTGGTCGTCGACAGTCAAGTGCAGCAATACACACTTGTTCATAAATTAACCATACTGAAAAAAAAATAGTTTTTTTTTTTTTTTAAATTGTTTCTTTCAAATTTAATTTTAAGTCAAATTCTATATTGGTTTCACTAATGTAGGAACTTAAAATCTAAAATCTATATTTTGTTATTTTTTTCTCTCTAATATTTTATAATTTAAATCATTTCAGATTTATGCTATAAAGAAAACTTCTTTTTTTTTAAAACTATTTCATCCCAAGCAAGGCAATAAAACCACTAAGATGCCAGAAGGTTACCGAGAGAATATGAAGGAAAAAAAAAAAAAAAAAAAAAAAAAAAAAAAAAAAAAAAAAAAAAAAAAAAAAAAACTCATTAGAATTCACCCCCCCCCGCCCATAATTATTAGCTCCCAATTTTTAACCTGCCGTAACCCACCCCATGTATACTCTGCCATAATATATGACAACATCACCACAAATAATGCAGGAAGTCCCACAAACAGTGAGATTTTGAGAACCGATATTTACAGGGCAGATTCGAGCAAAATGAATACAAAAGGTTTAAAGAGAGTGAACAATAAAAGAACAGGAATTAAAAAATCAGGAGATAAATATCGACATTGCAGTTAAAATTTTGAAGATCAGCAATGACTGGGAAGCAAAAAGCCAGAAGCAAAAAGTGCAAGAGAAGAGCCTGTTAGTGTAGAACTTATGGTACATCTAGCCATTTAAACTGTAAAATGATGAGACCTTGCCGCCAGTACTGTGGTTAAATTCATAAAGTCGAGGTATCATAGAGCAAAGTTTATCATAACAATTGCCATCAAAGTCTTTATAGAAAAGACACAGGGAAGCTATTTTATGGTGGTGGGAAAGTAACTGAACCAGAGATACCAGGTCAGGACCTATAACATTGAAGATTCTTTTGATTTTATCAAGAATCTCTAAATACATAGCAGAATCACCAGACCTGATATTGCAGCAATATTCAATGAAAGGACAAATGGTAGACTATAATGTGCAAAATAGATACTGGTGAGAAAAATTTCCTAGCAGCAGACCCAGTAAGTGATTCAATATAATCTTTCCACTTCATGCCAGCGTAAAAACTTATTTAATTTAATTCCAAGGCACACTTGCACTAAGTGAGAGTCAAATTGTACCAACCAATACTTTTTAATGTAGATTTTAATAACATTTAGTCAAATTTGCACAATTTTTAGTTGTTATAATGCTCAGTCAGATACACACATACATTTTTTTTTTTTTTTAATTTTTTTTACAGCAGAAAACCAAAAATTACCTCAACATGAGGATAGTCCATTTCAAGCCAGTCTGTACAGACACTTAGACTATCCCCACATTGAGGTAATTTTTGTTTTTCTGCTGTAAAATAAAAAAAAATAATAAATAAATATATATGCTCTATTATAATAAATACATCTACCTCTCTGTGGATCAGTTTTAATAATTAATATTACTAGGATCCACCCGGATCATATACCAACAAATTGTTTACCTGTACTATATATATATATATATATATATATATATATATATATATATATATAGGGACTGCTATCCAATAATAAGTAGATGATGAGCTAATTTAAATGTCATTTAATGTCTTCAGATTTAACTGAAAATGCTGTTTTAGTAAAATTGATTCCAGAAATTAGTCAAGTAAGAGCAAAACATTTGATAGAATATTTCTAAAGAATAGAAAAATCAATTTGGAAGGAACAAATCAATATTTTTAAAAGATTTGTTTACCATTTGTATTGTTTTCTGCGATTATTTTTTAGGAATTCACAGTTTGCATAATATTGAAAACAACAGAAGGAAAACAATAGAAAATGCTGAATAATTTATTTTCTAACCAATAACAATAAAACCATGGAATTTATTGTCAACTAAAGCTCGCAAGTTAAAATTGTTCATTCAGAAAACAGAAAGACAACAGCTGGGAAATGATATAACTGTACAATTTATGAAAAGAGAAAAGACAGCAATAGTAGTGACTTACATTCATCTCCTAGGTTGTAGGCATAATTCATAAGGACTTCTTCCCATATCTGGACCACCATGGCTGCATCTCGAATTTGGTCCTCACGTAGTTTACGAAGATAAGTGCGTGCATCTGGAAAAAAAAAACAAAAAAAAACAAACATTGAAAAACATTTAATGACTTGAAATCACTTAGTTGTTACAGTGGAAAAATAAAAAATGAAAACTAATGGCATGCTAATTGTCGTCATAAAGAAAGAACTAAGAATGGTGGGGAGGGGTGCTGAAAAGTTCTCGGCCTGATTCTGGAAGTGGTTTGAACTGAGAACTTTTCAACACCACCTCATTTTTTACAGATGTTAATAAAATCACATGCACATGAATGTGGTGAGTCCAGCCTAAATATGAGGAGGGGAGATGCTGTAAAAATTAAAAAAAAATAACAACTAACTGAACCTTACTAGTTTTATTTTAGGTTCAAATTACTATTTTTAAAGTTTTTTTCAGCAAGTTCCGACCCTATTAACCACCCGGCCATATTTTTCTCCTAACATCTCTACTCCATTTACACTATTTACATCGTTTGAACTGTTGTCCTCATCATTATTGCCATATTCACAACATTGTACACGACGACCTTCTTCAGATGAAGAAGTCCACAGGGGTAGATTGTTCTAATTCCACCTGCCTTGCCTTTGTTGATTATCTTAATTTTAATTTTAATTAATTCCCCTTCAGTAACTCAACTTCCCAAGTTTTTGCTCTCTCTGCTGTGGCCAGGTATTGAACTCACAATTCTTTGAGTCAAGTCATTTCTGGATTACTCAACCAACACTTTTATTTCCAAGGACACATGGTCCAGCATTGATAATAGCATTGGTTTGAGTAATTTGAGAAGGCACTCATAGCACTACTTAAAAGAAATGGTAAAAAAAAAAAAAAAACCAACAACAACAAATTTATATTTTTTTTTTATACTGTGTTATATGAGTGTAAGAAAATGATTTTGATTGAATTTTATTTTTTTTATCAACCCTTTCTGTTATTTAAAGCCAAAATGTTTTGAATTGGAAGAATAATTATTTTTTTGCAAGTGAATATTGCATTTAACAATTTCTTAGAAACAACAATGATTTTTCCAGATACAAGTCTTGCTATTTAAGCCATAGCCAGAAGGAAAAGAAGAGATGGACTCACCCTTCCCAAGGGTATGTAAAAAAAAAAACTTAAACTTAGCTCTCAGACTTCCCACTCCAAGCTGCTAACCACTGCACCACCCAGATATTCCAGTTGGAATTCTCTCTTTAGATCAAAAGTTATTTTCATTGCCCGGTCTTGCCACAGTGAACTTACAGATTTGTCTATATTTTCACTACAGTCCACAGTAAATGGTCAGGAAGCAAGAGCCTGATTCTCTGGATTTTCCAAAGGAATAACCAATCTGTTCCTGGCATCAATCAACACTTTTATTCCTTTTAAAATTCTCCTGTAGGTGGTCAATTTAAACTCCCATAGAGAGTCCATGTCAAGGTTGTGGCTGTGAATGTTATGCATTTGTTTAAGAAACGTACTCTTGCAGCTTTTCATGAAGTTATGCAGGAAAAAATAACGGTTAACCCAGACTTGAAGTTGTCAAGATTGTAATGATTGGGACATTACCCTGCTGGGAATCTGTTCCACAAAGTAGTAGTTCTTGGTGTGACATGGCCCGCTTTAGTTATATTAAAAATAATTAAGTTGAATTTATATCTGTCTAGATCTCTGAGATGAGGTATTATGATTATTTACACTATTTGGACTGTTATCCTCATCTTCATTGCCATATTCACAACGTTTCAGCCTTCTTCAGGTGATTGGAATTTTGAACTGAACCCTTTATTTCATCCATGGGGTACATTGTTCTACTTCCACATGCCATGCCTCTTCCAAATGTCTCATTTATTTCCCTTTAACTCTACAAGTTGTGGTTCACCACTGCTGTAGCCTGGTATTGAACTCACAACTCTTTAGGTCTAGTCATTGGATCTAACCAACACTTGTATTCACCAAGACATCCAGAAGAGGCATGACATGCAGGACTAGAACATATGATGAACAAAATAAAGGGTTCGGTTTGAAATTCTAATCATCTGAAAAAGGCTGGAGTGTACAATGGCCAAAACATGAATATGGCAGTAAAGATGAGGATAACAGTTTGAATAATGTAAATGTAAGTTGAATTAAATCAATCATTTGAAGTATTGATATTAAAATTTAATAATTTATCTTTTATTCTGTATTCTATTTCTTAAAAATATGGTTTTGACCACTTTTAAATTGGGTCAACAGTTAAATTGTCAATTTCATATGTAGTGTTTGACAATTTTAATTTTATATGTGATGTTCAACAGCAAGTTGCGTCCATACACTAACAAATCAGAAAGACTGCAGCTGTTGTATTGTGAAAACATAAAAAAAAAGTTTATCCTTTCTCTGCAGGCTAGCTACCACATAAAATCGACTACTGATATTCCAGAGACAAAAAGAAACTTCCAGGATTATCAGAAATTCAAAATTCAGGATTATGTATCTTCCGTGAAAGAAAAGTATAGCGCTTTCAGGTTGATAAACACAACAAACCAAATTGACTGACCAAATCACTTGTACATATGATGGGAAATACCTCAAGATCTGTCTACTATGAACTGTGTCTAAAAGAAAGAAAGCAAAACAAAATTTTAATCAGCAAAAATATTATGTGACAGCTAAATGGTCGTTGATGATCACAATTGTTGATAACATGTGACCATTGAACATTTCTATTATAATAATCCTTACATTTTCTTTCTTTTATTCTTTATTTGTTGTTTCCTTCTTCTCTCATACCATGTTTTTATATAACTTTATATCTCATATTTGTTTTCAATACGTTGTCTGTGTTAGTATTGATCCCTAACTAAGTAGAAAATTCAATTTTTTTTTTCTATTGTTTACACGAACCGCATCCATTGCCATATGTTTGAATTTTGTTGAAAGATAAAATTCGTAACATTGGGAAGAAGCACTCCAAGTGGAACTTACTTTTTACTCATGGGACACAAAGGGAATGAAGACAATTGATCCTTGTGTGCATGGCATGGCCTGTCTCAGTTGAAATATCAGGGTTGGTGGTATCAAGGAATGTTGTTCAACAGAATATATGCCACATGGAAATAGCAATAGAGTAATGAGAGGCTGCCAACATTTTGTCTGTAGGAAAGAGGTTGTAAGGAGGAAAATAATTCATCACCCACAGGGCCATGTCAACACTTTAGAACTATCAAGATGGAGTCAGATACTTATTGGAGCGGTATAATGAACTGACCATTTTTCCAGCATCTTGAGCAATAGATTGTATATGTGAATTCCACTTGAGATCTTGAGATGAGCTAGAATCCCGTTAGGAGTTCAAAGCAAGGAGCCATCTTGAGAGAAAACTCATCCATCTTTATAGGTGAAAGTTCAGTGTCTGGTGATGGTCAAACATTACTAGTTTGGTTTTAGATTTATTGAATGTTACAAGCCAGTCCTTCCCACCAGGGCTAAGTCAGAGGAAAGATCAACTAATAGTTTCTGGTCGTCCAGATTTTTGGAGATGTTTTGTCTTGTCAGTGTTAACTCATGTGAAGATTAGCCAGCCATAGCCAAGCAGCGTTTTAAGTAGAGATACAATTATATATACATCATTCAATGCATACAAAATTCCAAGCCCCTAAAAAATTGATATGACATAGATCTGTCACCTTCTCAGAAAATTTCAATTAATCTTGGACCCCCCCACCACCACCACCACAAAAAACATTAATCTAAGTGAACAAAGAATAATTGTCAAAACAGTCCATATCTGTTTATTGTGATCTTCAACATTCCAACATAGAAAAGCCCAACAAACCCAGCAAATAAATATGAAGCCATTTTGGAAGTTAAATGCATTAAAAACAAGAATGTACCTGCATTGATAATAACTTAGGGTCATAAGATCAATGAACTTGTTGAACAAATTGCAACAAAACATCAGGGTGACTATATTTGAACCTGAAGTAACTAACCAGAAAGCAATAAAACACATAAATGCATTATGCTCTTTTATACAAGAAGGTAATAAAAACAATCCATTATCTTCACAATAATAGTTTTGTTCACATGTAATCACTGAGAGTCTATGAAGGTAGATTCAGTAAACATTAAGGATTATGGTTGTTCAATAAAACAATATTTTACAGAATTGTGACTGGTTTTAGTTTGGTTTTTAAACTGAGGAACAAATTGTAGACTCTCCCAGAGCACTGGTTGAAATTCCTTATAGCCCTTGCTTGCATCACCTGAAGAACCCCCAAATAATGTCAAATTGCTTTATTCTTGCTGTACCAATTAAAAGGAAATTGATTGGATTGTCTGTTTAGCTTAGTACTTCTTGACTTTTTTTTTTTTTACACTTTTACTATTAATGTTTTTTTTTTTTAGCGGACCCCTATAACCATTCAACAAAAAAGTTTATTTTTTACTAATAGATAAGTTTAGGAATTATATTATAGAAACTAAATTAATGAGCTTTATTTTGAAGTAGCGCATTTTATGGCTTATAAGATGCACATTTTTTCCTGAAAAATATGTGTCCGTCTTCCAAGATGAATGTAAGGCAACACCCAGGCTCATTTAACTTTGGACAGTCACCTAATTGGCTTGACTGATAGGGACATGGATTTGTATGTTGAGTCATTACACTATAATGTTAGCTAGTATACAAGTATTTCCAAGACTATAAACCTTCCTGGGGCCGAGCCACAAGCTTAAACAGGCTCTGTTTACTAACAGCAGCCTTTCTGCTCTTGACTAGTATATCATTGCCATACAAACAAAATCAGATAAGTGATTAATACATAGTACCAGTATGTGAGGGATGCATGGTAATGTGTAGTTGTATGAGAATGACATTTTTTTCTCTTAGAAATTTCTTTCCAATATTAGTGTGATCCAAGTTTCAGCATCTTGTAAACTGGAAAATAAAGTAATTCTAATTTAATGAAAATAAACTTGTATTTAACAATGAAATTCTAGGGAAGGTTTATGTATATTAGTAAAATAACTCATAATCCATTTTGAAATATGTGTGTA